TCTCTCTCTCTCACACACACTCACACACACACACACACACACACACACACACACACACTCACACACAGTCTTCCTTCTGCTGTCCAGCTTTCTCCAGGGAGCAGTCTAAACATGGTTTCAGAGCCAGGCCAGTCAACCCTCCAGCAAAAACACAACAAGTGCAGACACAAACACTTAACTCCAAATGCCTGTCTGCCTCCCATGTTTTGGCGGCACTTCTCTCTTACGTCCTCAAAGTTTGTTCATTTGTTTACCCTTGTCAATTGTGGACAACAGAGGTTAATTGATTCCCTGCTCTTATGGCATGTCACATCTGTGTGAATTCAAAACTACATGTTATACATATCATACAGTGTTGTTTTATGGAAATCAATTTGCTTTCACTAATTTTTTTTCTGCAAGGAAGTCCATCCGAGTTCCATTGTCTGCAAATGACTGACATTTGCAAAATTCATGATTTGTCTTCTGAGTTTGGAAAATGAAAGATCAATTCCAGAACTATATTTTCGAGTTGAGTCTCTAAATGAGGATGGGATTGTCATACTGTCAAAGACAAAGTGATACATTGTATTATGAGAAACCCATATGAAAGACGGAAAGATAATGTCTACATTTTGTGCCTTGTTCCTTATGATATCAAATTTTTTTTTATTTTTTGCCCCACTTTCTCCATATCTGTTATTTGTTCCTATAATGCTACTTCCTGTCATTTGTGTGGATATCTCAAAAGTTGTCATTGGAATGCAACCTTTTATTGGGCTATTGTGCCCCCCCCCCCCCACACACACACACACACTTTTACGATGAGACACTTAGCCAAGACATTTCTTCTTAATATGATCATGACACTTTAGCTTTGATGAGTAAATACAGTTGCAACACCCCAACAGCACATCCTGTTTGCATTCTACATGGGGGCATTAAGAATGACTGATGAAAATGTGATTGTCTGGTCCAATAAAGGAATGAGGTGAGTACTAGCAGAAAGTCTCAAAAGAAGGGATGCCGGATAATTATTGACCTTATAATTATATGGCTGTTATTAGGACTGAAGATGCCATATCAATAAATCTGACATTACTCAACTCAAGCAAAAAAAACAAAGAAACAAAAAAAACATTCAAGAATCAAACTGAATATCCAATGAAGCCTTACTTCGCTGTCGGTGCGCTCCTTTTGATTGGAAAGTGCTGTCATAACGTAAACTTTATTGCTCACAAAACAACATATGGGACATCTTTGTGAGGAAATCAAGCTCTCCTTTCTACTTAATACGCCCTGTAGTAAATGTGCATTGAAGGCACATTAAACAAACATGACATCGATAGTTTGGGATTTCTTCAGTTTTTCTTCAGTCCCTACTGATTTATGGATTTGTGATGTTATTCCTGCTAGCTTTGTTAGCTTGCTAGGTCTGACCACACAGTGGCTGGATGAGAACTTCAGACTTTACAGGGTTGTGTTCTATGCAGTGCTCAGTTATGCATTTACTTTATTTCTTTTTTTACAATGCACATTTTCAATTTGTTTAGTGCACTTGATGAATCCTTACCCAAGATTTTGTCTACTCTTCGAAGCCTGTTATTTGTTTAATTTTGTATCTGCCATGTGCATTCAGTCGCGTGACATGGAGTAGTTACTTAGTCAAGTAAAAGAACTTCCAGAAAGTGATCAAAGCTGTTGTACGAGTATACACACCTGCATGTTAAGTCGCAGGTCAATGTCCATCTGTACTCATTTGTATGCAAACGCCATTTGACATTCAGGTACTGTATCTTTTCATTATGCACTGAACTATGCCTAAAGTTTACATTTGACAAGCCATTCAGAACATAGTATTTTCTTGAAATAAATAAACGTGAAATTCTAGAAACAGAAGTTTTTGATTTTTCTTGTAATAGTGATGCCATATTTGGTTAGGGCAAATCTGTGAGTATCGCTTTCTTCATACCACAAGTAGGTCTTGCTGCTGTGTATGAACTTAATTTCTAGAACATTTTACAATCGTAGTATCACTTTTACAGTTCTGCCAGCCAGGAGGTTGGAAGCTGTCCAGAGAGAGGAAAGCACCCACCTTCTTCACTGTCGTGCTGACGGATATTGAATCAGACAGACACTACTGCTCCTGCCTCACTTTTTATGAGGCTGAAGTCAATCTGCAGGTAAGATTGCATACACAGAGCCAGCTGTAAACCTTTCCAACATGATGTCACAGATATTTGTAGGTGGAAGAAACTCTGATTGCACCACGAGCAAACAAACCTTTTGTCATCTGACCAAGGAAGAGCAAATTAGAAAACAGGGACAACGCCTTGAAATAATGATTTTAGCTTTCTTCTCCACCGCCGTTGTTTGAATATGAGGTGTGAGTTGAAAAGAAGTTATATGAGATTAAATTGGTTCCGAGGGAGATGGAATGCTAGCGGTGATTCACAAAACGGTAAGTTAGCTTGCAGGTTTGCCATTATATTTTGATCAATTACTCAATGAGAACCAACCACAAATGTCATCCATACCTGTGGGAAACTGTTTTCCACAAGCCCATTGATGGAGGTTTAAAAATGAAACCGTTTTGTGGTATATCTGGCTGTGATATATCCTAACACAAGATTTTTATGATCGTTATCAGTTCAAGGCAGCGGCAGTCAATGCTCTTTTATCATATTAGCTTGTTTCGTTTACAGCTATCACCATGTTTGACACATGATGCGGTGTGCTTTGGATCATGAGTTGTTTCCTTCTACTTTTCTCTTCCCATCATTCTGATACAAGTTGGCCTTTGTTTCGTCTACAGTATTCAAATTATAATAATTTGTTGTCTCCCATAATCATACGATCATTTGAAGGTCTTCAGCTTTTTAATAATGGACCAAACTTTTGAAGTGTTTGCTCTCCTATTAGATTTATGTTGTTTTCTCAATCTCCTCATGTCCACATTCACTTGCAGTGAGATCTCATTGGACTTGAAATGTATTAGATGATAAAATCTTTGTCATAGTCCAAATACCTCTGGACCTATGGGTACTTAAGTTTGTGTGATGCACACTTAAGAAGATCCTGATTAACTATGAGCCCCCCCTGCTAACTCCGCACTGCTGCACGAGCCTCATTAATCCTGATGTAATGAAATCTGAAATCTCAGGCTCCTCACCCTGTTTTAGATTGCCACGATAGTAAAATTAATTTTGTTGAACGCTCACACAATGAGTGTGAAATACTTTTCGTTTGGTATGTCGCCTTCATAATGCTTAAAGGTCAACAGGGGGATTTTGGTTGAGCAAGATGACGGTTTTCATTTTCTGTTTTCTATTTTTGGATTATCTTTTTTTTTAATGTTCTTCGGCTCTTTGTTTTTACTTCAAGGAACGCACATACGTGACATCGTCAAGAATTAGGAGAAAACAAAAGTCTGGATGAATCCAGCCTAATAAAAAGCATGCCGGACACTGATAGTAGAGATACAATGATCTCGTGCTCACCTCGGCTTTGGATTTACTCATGCATGCAAGTCGATATCCCCGTCTATCACTGATCACAACAGATTCAATGGATCTTGATTAGTGTATGATTATGAATGACCTCGTTAAATTCTCTCCGCCAAAAGCCCACAGAATACCAAAGTAATTGTTTCACTGTGTTTGCCTTTGCAAGAGGCCTCCAATGGCTCCTGTCATCCTGCCCATTGTGATTTCACATCCTTTAACATGTGCACGGCAGTCGTCAATCACATTCCAGTTTGATCAGCAAATCGTTGCTTAGGTGATTTTGAGATGGAACCTCATAGAAGAAATATGCGCCACGTCTCAAAAAGTGGACTAGTCACTGCACAGGAATCTTTCAAAGAAACAATTGTTGATGATCTTTTCTTTTTAACCTCACAGTTGTGTGAATCAGACCATAATTTTTTTCATCCTTCCTGGTGTAAAACCAAGTATACATTTCCCCAGAGGTTGAAAAGCAACATTGGACAAATGACCCCATCATAGACAGAAAATGATCAAAAATAGCCCTGTTGTTTTGCAGAGGAGCCAAATGACATCCTTTGTTGTCTGTCACTAGCTGTTAAAGTTCTTCATCTGTGTAACACACTGCAGACCACTGGATCATCCTTTTTCAGTCAATTGTTTTTCATTCGTACACCTTTCCTCCTCAGATATTTGATTGTAGTCAAAAAAACATGTGGGAGTGTTAGGCCTGCTTTACCTACCCAAATAGCGGGTCCTAAATTAGGTGTTCACTTACCCAAATAGATTACGCATGTTGTTGGCAGCAGGTGATGGAGACCACCATATCGAAAAGAGGAGCATTGCAAGCTCAATATGAAATTTGAAGTGATGGAATTGGCAGTGTTGGTGGAAGACCACCACTTTACTGATTTATTGAAAAGAAAACCTGTTGCTCTTACAATTTTGATGAAGCCAGCAAATGAAAAGAAGCCAAGTTTTGTTGGATTTGACTCATCCCGAATGCCCATCCTTGATTAACATTCCATTTCAAAATTGGGAAAGCACATCGGAAAAACTGCTGCGGGACAGGTGAGCGCCAGGAAATTAAATCGACTCACCTGACACGACTCCCCGCCAGACCTTGGATCATTCAGAAGCCCCAAAATGGATGAATAAATGAAGTGTTAGAATTTTTGTGTCTGGGATTTGATAAAAGTGTTACATGAGCTCAAAATATTAGTACTCCCTGTCACCTCTCATTTTGCTTGCACCTCTTCGTAATGATTCCGCTCAGTGGGGCCGTTTGTTGAGAACATTTGTTCCTGTTAACTACCTGCGTGAGGAAAAATAACAAACATTTATCAAATCCCATGTCAGTGTTGAGGTCTGCATTCATGTAGATTATAGCTGACATGATGTTCTTCTGCAGGCCTCACATTAGTTGCAGGGAGAGAAGCAAAAGCGCTTACGTTGGCCAAAGCCAAGCAGTTCACTCCATTGTCACATTCATGAAATACACAATCAACAATTATGACCACATTTACTCAGTATAAACTACTTTTGCAGTCGAAGTATGTGTAAAACAAAAAAGTTAATATTTTTACATTTGAGCTAGTAGGGTAAAGTTACAGTAAGTACAGCGACTTAAGTATTATTTATGTATGACCTATACAGTCATCTTTGCTACCCTCTTACTGATGTGATCCCTTAAAACTCCACTTAAATGTCAGTTCCTTCGTCTGCGTCAAGGTCTTACCTTCTAATCTTTTAAGGAAAGTCATGGGATTGGCAAGCAGGCTGTGAATTCCACACCAGAAGCAGGAAGTATCTTAAAATAAACAGCCTATCAATAAGTGTTAAAAGTTAAACCGAGTGGTCTTATTTTCCCAAAGCAGATATTACTCAAATTGTTCTCTTATCCTGCCACCTGACTATAAATTAAACGCAACTGTATTATACCACCTATTCTTTGAGTCAAGCTCATCCTGATAAGGAACTCCAAGGACTATATTTGGCCGTGTGCCGACATCTTGTTCCAGCATAACAAACACACATTCTTCAGTTCCACATAAGGCACTGAAGATCTTCTTGAAACGTGACATTGTTTGAACAGTCTTTACTCTAAATGAATCCTTATCTGCCGAATCAAATTTCCGAGAGTCCAGCCAGGTGGCAGAGGAATGTTTTGCGCCTAGTAATTGAACTGAATCCTAAATATAACGATGAAGTGGGCCCCTCGTCTGAATGAGATTTTTTTTTTTCAGATTCTCCTGGCATGTTTTCAATTGAGTGAAGAACTATACTAGAATCTGATAAACGCTTTAGTCAGGAATGAACACTCCTGGCTGAGGATTCACCCAAGATTACTGTGATAAGCATTTTTTATCACAGCTTATCATTTTGACATTCATTAATCACAATTATGGTTATAAAGTGTTTTTGCCAACATTAGAGGAAAGATGCAGTTCAAAGTTCAAATGTTGTGCAAAGGTTTGCATCTTGTAGTCCTCTAATAATTCTCAAGTTTTGCATTTTTCTGTTTGTTGGGCCCAACATATATCTCATGTGTTCAATCTGGAAGAATAAATATTTTTAATCATATATCATTAATACACCAAATATTACAATAACAAAAAAAATAATAAATAGCCAGGTAGGAACTTGACTTGTCTAATGTATGTTGTACTTCTTCCTCCAAGAATTATGTTGTTTTTTTACCTGCTTCATTTTAGCAATTGATAAAATGAAAATTCATGGTAATTTGGATGCGCCGATTTGGAGAACGTCTTGGGATTTCAGCTCATATGAGCTTTTTGGTGCATATTTTCAACTGTAACTTGTGAGCGAATCGGAGAAAAGGGTTCCTCCGAGGAGCAAAGGAAACCAAAGGTCGAGAAGAAACTTATGTTGAGAAATAATGAAATTCTGCCATCTTCATCTCGTCTGCCAAAAGAAAGTCAACATGATTAGGGAATGTGGATTTTAGGTGCCAATCCTAGCTCTCATTGTAATATATACAAATCCCACCTGAGTCTTAAGTTGCAGGACCAGCTGAAGTATGGGAAAAAAAAGTGACTTATAGCCTGAAAAATACTGTACTTTTCGATTAGAATTGTGGTTGTCTCCATCAAATAATTTCTTGTGGTAATTGTATTTGTGTTCATTGTTCCGCTATTCATGTTTCAGTTTTGGAATGTTTGCTACAAAATAAAGAAACATAGCCAAAGGCTATATCCCATTGAGCGGCGACAGTTTGCAAGTGTTCGTGCACGCCCGAATGTTGATTTTTCATTCGCCAGATGTCTTTGAGACTGCGACCTTGAAGGAACCCTGACGAAAATCAACATTCGGGCCATGCACAAACACTCGCAAACCTCCGCTGCTCAGTGGGAATCGGGCTTAAGATCTTGAATCTTAGATTAGCACCCTCAGCCATCGGAACAATGTACATCTGTTATAAAAGACAGTCATATGCTTCACTCTACTTTATCTTGATCTGGGAACGAATAGTGTGTTTGTTTTATATTTCCCTGGGGTGTGATGAGTGCACATGGCGTCTAATGACGCAAATACGCAAAGGACCTGTCGGAAAACATCTTGCTTGTTTTTTGAGTTTAGGACTAGCTACACTAGTATTTTTCCAAACACATGCATTGGATGTGAGAACTATCAATTACACAATGACTTTGAACCGGGATGTAAATAGCGCTGACATGTTCCATTTCATGGTTTTAAGTCTTCTTTTTTTTTTTAAATCCCAGGGATCTAAAAGTATCGAGGTTGACGAAGATGAAGAGGTGGAAGAGGATTGCTTGATCCAGCCAGCTCAAGTGTTTGCTCCAAAAAGTCTCATTCTCGTGTCGAGATTGGATCATCCAGAAATATTCAGGGTAAAAAGGCAAAATGTGATTGATTGATTTGAAAAAACTATCTTCTGTCTTGTTCCGAAAACCTTCATTTTGAATGTCTCTGTATATGTTGTCCTTCCAGGGTTGTTTGGGACTTATCTACACCGTGCACATTGATAGCCTTACTGTCCCTTTAGAGGGTTTGGTGGCCAATCTGTTTATATTTCACGTCCCTGTGGCTGGTGGATCCCAGGTATTGTTCAAACTATAGTATTTTGTATTGATTTTGACTGTTTATCTTTGTCGGTGGCCATGGCTTCATGATGAAATTTTACAACAGGTGACTGCCAAGATTTCCACATAGTGTAACCAAAGTCGAAGGTCAAAATAGTGAATATGCTTTTTTTTCCCAGCTTCAGAATGTCAACATCAGAACAATCGGACAAAAAGCTCACCCGCAGCCCCTGTTGAGGATAAGCAGTATAGAAAATGGATGGAAATGTCTCATAAGCTAAATGCCACTCTAATTTTGCATGTATGTTAACATTCCTCATGAAAAAGCAAGCTTTTTCAATAGACGTTTGAAAGTAGAACCAGTGATCCAACTCAATGCTGATCGTGGACTGAAGAAATAAGAAGAGATGATACAGAATAGAATGCAACTATAAGATACCAAGCTTATTTTGGACATGAGCTCCACTACTCATGTCATAATTACGACATTAACAATTCAAATAGTGGCGCCTTCTTAACTTTTTAAATGTCGTTACTTTATTACTGCTGGTGAGGGAAATCTAAATATTTGCCTCCCATTGTTCTGAGAGTTCAGCTCCTGTTCAAACACCAGTAAGAGGAAAGCATTTGGTATGTCCCCAGCATGACGCCTCTTCAATTCCCAACACCTTAAGTGTGCCTTTAGGCAAGGGAACAGATGCATTAGTGAAACTAGCACATCGTAAAACCTTACTGGTATGCGAGGAATTATATGAATGAAAAAGATGGATTTCCCTTCAACTTCATATTTGACTTTTGTTGCCGTGTCTTTAAAAGACAATGGAGAAATTCCCAATTCACAGCAGCAAAGTTATGAATGGAAGAAGTAGAACAACAAAATATGTGTGCATCCTGCAAGCAATGATGACTGTTGCATCAGCCAATTGATCGAAAGAGCCAACAGTGTTGCGCACTTCATGAAGACACATTCACTCACAAGCACGTGATTGAAATTACATTTTTTTGCAGCTTGATCACTGACATTTTAGTTGTAGCTGTGTGCCCATGCAGCCTTGACTAGAAAGTGCACCATAACTAGAAATGATTGGCTGTCAACTACAATGTTTTTTGACATTTATTGTCATGTTTTTTTCTTGACAGAAGCTATTTAGCCTGGGAGCAGGTGACCGACAACTAATCCAGACGCCTCTGAATGACACATTACCTGTCACATGCAAGAGTGTCGCTCTGCTCTTCCAGCAGCTAGGTGCGTCCCGCCACTGAACGACCAGTTAGTCATTGTTTGACAGCAAACCTACAAGATGCCCTGTCATGCTCATGTCATTTAGTCATGTTTAGCTGCGACACGGTAGGGATGGTGTAGCATTCACTGCATATATCAAGAATTCCTTCTTCGTTGAGATTGCCTGAAATGTCGATCCCTTTATTTGCTCTTAATCTTTTAAAATAATATTTAAAAATATTCCTAAAATCCCCTTCTTAGTTGATTCAACCCAGCATCTTAATATTTTTGACATGACGTGGTGTAAGTTAAGTCAGTCTTATCAGATTTTAGAGCCCCAATTCCTTTGGCTAAATCCCAAGTGCAGATTTTTAGAGTCAGGAGACATTTGGATTTATTGTATTGTAAACGTGCCCGAGGCAAGATTATGAGGTTTTGACCTCCCATTAGTGATTCTGCAATTTGCTCGAAGCTAGAACAAGCACATGATGAAGATTTGATGCCGTTTGTTGGGCTCACGTTGCTCCATTTGCACAATATATGAACTTATGCTTAAGCCAGTTGTACGGCCAGTACAGTACATGCTGAGTTCATTGTGACGCGTGTAGCTTTTAGGATGTTTATCCGTCATCAAATTACTATTCCACACAGACCACTAATGTCGATGATGTATGTTGTATTTTTAGACTTTAACCTCACTTTTGAAGTAAGCCGACGAGTATCTGTGATCTTGGGGTGAATTAATTACAAAATCTGATTTACAGTGGAAAATTGGCATTCGTCGAGCCTCATTTGGGGACAAGAATGTGCTTGAAAACACATTTGATTTTATTTCGTGAGTGCACATGGGGGGTACTTACACGATATGCTAAGCAAGGTCATGTGGAAGTTATGTTTGTAGCCAATCTGCGGAAAGAAAACAAAACTGTTTTGACATAAAAGCCAAACACGTCAGTCATTACACATCTGTTTTCATTTACCTGCAAATGATTCTGTTGCTCCTTAAAGCAGATTTTAGGACATGCATGTGTTGGCAAGGTGCAAATTCATTGCTCTTAATGCCAAGAAAAGCTCCATTCTCCGAAAGAATCCGGTGCTGCCCTATTCATGTTTGATTTGCTTTAGTCAAATTCAGGTCCTTCAAGATCAGAAGTAGGGCAGTCACACTGAATCTCTGCTCAATTGCGCTTCCGTCCGTCCATCCATCCATCATCCATCTATCAAACCATCAAATTACTGCTGGGGTTGAGTTGCAGGGTCATCAGATTTAGCAGGGAAGCCCAGACATCCGTTTCCCCCAACCACTTCATCCATTCTTCTGGGGGGATCCCAAGCCATGAGAGAGAGTCTCTCGAGTGTGTCCTGGGCTGTCCCTGGGGCCTCCTCCTGGTAGGACATGCCTTGAACACCTCAGCAGGGAGGCGTCCAGGAGGCTCCTGATCAGATGCCCGAGCCACCTCATCTGGCTCCTCTCAAGGCAGAGAAGCAGCAGTTTGACTCTAAGCACCTCCCAGATACCTACACTTCTCAACCTAACTATAAGGGATAACCCAGACACCCTGCGGAGGAAAGTGCTTGTATCCGCAGGCTTGTTCTTTCGGTCTTTGGGCAGGATCTCATCCTTGACTCACAGAGGGCACCCCACCCTTTTCCAACTGAGGACCATGACATCAGATTTGGAGGTGATGGTTCTCATCCCAACCGCTTCACACATTGCTGCGAACTGCTTCAGCGAGAGTTGATGATGGTCTGATGAAGACATCGGAATCACATCAACTGCACAAAACGAGTGTAATACTGAGGTCGCTAAACTGGACTCGCTCAACGCCTCAGCTGTATATATTAATTCTGTTCAGGTCATGAACAGCAGCCGTGACAAAGGACAGCCTTGCCGGAGTCTAACTTTCATTAGAAACGACTCTGACTTACTGAGGGCAATGCGGCGCAAACAGCTCGTATTGAAATGTCCAGGTCCACATAGTCCTGGAGCACTCTCTCCAGGACTATGAACACCTGTGCCAAGTCCACAAAGCATATGTTGACTGGTTGGGGCAAACTCCTTTGTACCCTCCAGAACCCTGCTGAGTATGTCACTGCTGGTCCACTATTCCATGGTCAGGACGAAAACCAGACTGCTCCTTGTCCCTCTGAGGTTGGACTTCCCGACGAAACCACCTCTATAGCCGTCCGAAATAGACCTTACCAGGGAGGCTGAGGAGTGTAATCCCTTGGCATGTTACAATTGGCATGTTGCGTCTATATTTTTGTTTAGTGTATGTACTGTACAGCGTCATAAACAATTAATGGATGCCTGGAGTGATTTACTGTCATAATATATGACCAAGCATTTCAAGTATCCTAAATTAGATCAAATCCCCACACATTTTCCAAGTAACCCTAAAAAACACATTCCTCCCTACTCATTTCATCGGATTACTCTTTTACAAACATCCTCCTAAATTGTCAAGAAAACCCGCTGCCCAAAAAGGAGCTGTTCTTTCATCCCCTGACATTTACTGTCAGTCTTTTGAACAGGCCAGAACTAAAGTACAGGTATGTCTGTATATATCCATCTGCTGCCCATGTTGCTGTTGTAGCGACAGGTGACAGTTTATAGCTGTGCTGAGTCCCTAATCCCTCTTTGATTGGCTGCTCACGTACATTGTTTTTGATCATTATCTTCAAAGCATGTCCGCTATGACTCGTGTTAATCGTTCATCAGATTCCTCTCGGGTGCTATCAGTAGTTTTTTTGGCATCTGACCCGCAAAGAGAACAAATGTAGCATTTCCACTAATTCGTCCACCCTCCTACCCAAATAAGGATTGCAGAAAATGACCTACAGACTGGCGGCTCGCCACATCTTTCGGTGTGCACAGGTCACTGAAGTCAGTGGAGAGGAATGTGTGTTAAACATGACACACTGTGGAGGAAGTACAACCCCCCCTGAACCCCCCCGGTAGTGAGATAAAACCGGCAATCAAGAGTGCTGCTGTTTGTTTGTTTGTTGCCTTTGTCTCCACTGTTATCGGGGACTGCTGCTGTCTCTTTTTATTTCAGGCTCGGAAATGTGTCACTGTTTTCATAAAATGAGTAAACACCTGGGTCTGACATTAAGCTGGGGCCGTCTCAGGAGAGTTCTTCACATAGTGTACAGCATTACTATTTGTGCTTTTTAGTGTATTAGGAATCTACTCAAAAGGATCAATTTGCTCATCTTCAACATTTAAGATGTTCTCAGTGTCCTGTTTATCAGTGTCGAGCTGGACTCGGGGGTGCCAAACATCCAGCCCCAGCGCCCCCGGTGGACCCGACATGTCTGCTAGTGTTCCTCTTTCTTTTGTCATTCCTATTTGTGATTAATTGATCTGTCAGATACTTGGTAGGAAACAATAACAGGAACTGTAAACTTAGAATTCTTCCTGCTTGTCACACTGGGATTTGAAACATTATTATTAATGTATGCGACTCTTTCATTTCCGTTGGTTGGCCAAAGTTAATACTAATGAGTCAACTTTTTCGAGGGCTTTAAATAGTTGATACAGCCAACAGACTGGTGACTCCAGTACCGTGGTCATTACTTTGTTTAGTCTTTGCCTAAACATTTTATATATTTTTTTAACTTAGCGGTGCAGCAAAATAATTTGAGACCCCCCTAATTAAGCCAACCCTTTTGTATTTGACTCTGTTCGAACTGGTCATGCAATTAACCCACAGTAGGACACAAATAACCCAAATAAGCAGTCTTGTACCCATCTGTGACACTTTGCGTATTATTTGTTTGATTTTGTCTATTTTTAACTCTAAGGCCGTCAACTGCTCCTATTTTCTCTTTTCCTCAAATCTTAAATCCCCTCAACTAGCCGAGTGCGTTAGATTGAAACAATGTGGCCATTACCTTCAACATTCCTTCCTACGAACACCTCATTAGTTGTGCTTTCTTTGTTAATTGTTATTGTTTCCCTCTTGCAGGTATTCAAAATGTTTTGAGCCTGTTTTGTGCAATACTGACCGAGCACAAAGTTTTGTTCCACTCCACGAGTTACCAGAGGCTTGGGGAGGCGTGTCGCGCTTTGGAAGCTCTTATGTTTCCCCTCAAATACAGGTGAGTGTATGCACTGCCACACCGTTCATTATGTTTATTTAGTGCCACTAATAATTTTATCCGACTGTTGAAGGGCCATTCGTATTGTGATTTGCCCCTGTGTTTTTTTTACAACAATGTCTTGAAATATATATATATTTAGACCCACCGCACTCATAATTATTTATATTGCCAGATCCAGTTTTTCATACACCCGGTGGTGCAAGCACCCGTTGCTGCCAACCCCTGCTCTAATACCGTATCTGGTTATAAGCTCATCAAAATGTATTTAAATATTTGCCAAATTAGGGCTGGTCATTTTGCTGTAATTGATGATATTCCAGTCATGATGATGATGTTATTACAAAATCTCTGCACATTGTGTGCGTTCTCATGAATTTACTTATTTGAGATTTCTTGTGAAGACCTTTCAAATAAACACATTTCTCTGCTGAGAACTGGGAAGGTGCTTTGTGATGCACTTGTTTGTTAAATTTCCCTTTCCTTAGTCTTGCTTAAAATACAATGTGTGTTTTTTGTATGCATATCTCTATAGTTATCCCTACATCCCCATCCTGCCGTCACGTCTACTGGAGGTGCTCAGCTCCCCGACCCCCTTTATCATCGGCGTGCATTCCATGTTTCAGAGTGAAATCCAGGAGCTGGTGAGTCCAGAATAACTTGTAATTTTTTTCGAAAATGTGATGATACAATGTTTACAGTTTCACAAGCGCTTTAGTTTGTCAGCAAATAAAGTAATCTATCCTTGTAGAGTTTATATTTGGCTGCTTCTGCAACGTGTTGCGTCTTGCAAAAAAACCACCTGACATGTCAGTATTTCATGTGTCAACAGTTGGATGTCATCATCGCAGACCTTGATGGCGGCACAATAAAAATCCCAGAGTGCATCCACTTGTCTCTACTTCCTGAACCTCTTCTCAGCCAAACACAGGCGGCCTTGTCATTGGTAAGCATGTGCATGCCAACATCTTCATTCATTTTTCCATTTGACTCTGTTCACACTCTGAGGACTGTCCAGATGTACTCACGAATATTTTGTAAAATTTGTCGGCAACACTGTTGGGATAAGCGATGACTGGGGAAAAGAACATTTGATTACTAGAATTTAAACTCACACCAAATGTGCTTAGTCTCACATTGAAATCTTTTAAAACATTTTCGTGGTGTTCTGATATACTTGGAAAATTGTCATGTGCAAGGTCTGGCCTCTTCTAGGTATTGCATCCTGATCTGGAGATTGCAGACAATGCATTCCCTCCGCCTCGCACTGCACCCTCCAACCTCAAGTTGTTGGTAAGTCAGCATCATGTCACATGCGCTCCCTTTGCCCATAATTTGACATCTTCCTCCCCCATGAGGGAGGATAATACTGCTTTCAATAAAAGGTTTCTTATCTCAAAAAGGTCACAATCGGAGATTCCGCATCAACTGACTGTTATCTAAACCTGCTGATTAATTTATAATCAAGTGATGTTGCTTCATATTTTTTTCGGGGGGAATGTGTTGTGTGTATGTGAATGTGTGTCAGGACAAGGAGGTGAGGGCTGTCTTTCTCAGGCTGTTTGCACAACTCTTCCAGGGCTACAGGTCATGCCTGCAGCTCATTCGCATCCATTCCGAAACTGTGATTCACTTTCACAAGGTAAGATAACAAATAGCAATTCCCGTGCAAAGTGTTCTAAAACGTAGTTTTCCTGCTAGTCCCCGCCTGATCAAATATTTTTCGCAACTGCTTTCCATGAAGATTTTCCTGTAATCTTCCAGGAATGATCAGAAAAAGGACTAGCATGTGTGTCCCTAAAATGTGACAAATTTGGTATTTTGTTTTTGTCTGAAGTGTTCCCATTTTAACTCCAGAACATGTCATCATCAAATTACCCCACATGGATTCTATTATAATCATGCTCAGTTTCTTTTCCCTGAAATTAATAAGTGGTGAACATTTGAGTGAACCCACAAACAAATAATGATGAAGATAATAATGATACCTCAATTAAATGGCTTCTTCGGTACATCTATTTCTGTTATACAAGAGCTTATACTTGATTACAACATTGCAGCGATTGCTCGATAGATAATAGGTCAAATATCCTGTAATTATACACTAACTTGCTGCTTTGTATCAATGCCAGCATTATACTATTGTTCATGTGTGTGCAGTATTGTAATTGTTCTAATTCTGACATTGTCCAGACTGCCTTTCTAGGCCAGCGGGGCCTCATTGAGAATGATTTCATCACTAAAGTCTTGGATGGCATGGCCTTCGCTGGGTTTGTCTCTGAGCGTGGTCCGCCTTACCGAGCTTGTGATCTCTTTGATGAGGTAAGCCACCGCCCTCACCCCCCGGTCCACCCCTCACCCTGCTCAAATTGAGATGAGAAGCTGTAGAAACGTCTTAAACAGTACACCTATGTTTGACTTGTTTCAGTATTGTTGTTGTTTTCTAACTAGAGGATCCATTCTTGTAACTACAGATTCTTCTAGCACATTTTGCAGTTGTTATTTTACTTTTATTCTCTGTGTGTTCATAGCTGGTGGCCTTAGACATTGACAAATTTAGGGAAGAAGATCTCAACCCTGTGAAGCTGCAGAGACGCATCAGGGAACTCTCCGAACAGCTATACAGAAATGTGAGAAAGGCAAATTTGTTTTTGTAATGAATATGAAGCATGAACAAGTTTTTTTTTTGGGGGGGGGGGGGATAAATAAATAATAAAAAAAAGAACCTTCAGGCTTTTTATCACCTCTCCCAGTTGGTGGATTTGTCTCAAAACCAGTTGGGACCGACAATCTTAAATAATAATTGATATTACTGCCATTCACTGATAAAATTACCGTCTCCACTGTATATTCATATGTCTACCTTATACTGCCCCCGATGGCCAAGGTGAGTACAGCAGAAGGAGCAGTACGATGTCCAAAACCAAAATAGTGGCAACAACTGTGAAATTCATACCATTCTATTTAATCATGTCATTACTGTATGTTTTAATAAAGTACAATATTACATAATACTATGTTCCTTTTTGAAAAACACAATTTTGTTCTTTTTGGGGAGAAAGGCTTCAGATGATTAATGGCATTACCATGCATTTCATCTGGAAAGTTAGGTTGACATATGAGTGTTTTAAGTTACGAGCATGGTCATTGCTTCATAGACTAAATTAAACTCGTATCTCAAGGGACCACTGTATATGATTTTAAAACTATACGCTGGTCAGTCTCTTAATACTTTGGTATTCCTTTTGCATGTGTTTTCACTAGGAGATTCCAAACCCACACTTGACGTTCCAGAAAGTGCCCAGACCATCAGAGGGATCACACCTCCGAGTGCACCAAGTACCCTTCCCCCTGTTGTGTGACGACCAAGTGGAGAAGCTACTGCAGGAGGGTCTGGCCAAACACACCAATGTCCCTTCATTAACACGGCTGGAGAAGAAGTGTGTTGTACCTGCTGGTCCTCCTGTTGGTATGACCACCTACAGTATATAACTTTGATGATACCAGAACACATCGTTAATATTAATGTTTGAATTGATTCCTTGTTTGTTTTTTTCCAGTGTCCATTATAGGAAAGACTGGCTCTGTGTTTAACAGTGCTCGCAGGCTTGAAGTAGTCAAGAGCTGCATAGCCTTCATCTTTGAAAACAAGATCCTCGAGACGGAAAAGGTTCAGTGTTCAATAATTTAATTTGCTTCACAAGTTGTATGATGTATTTGGTATATTTATCTCCCAGATTAGTGGTTGTCAAACCTTTTACACCTAGTACACACCTAATACCAGTTTAAAAAACTTTTCTCTCTGCTAGTCCCACCATCGTGACCAACATTAAAATAATGTAGCGCAGAAGCATCGAAAACAAGACAGGTTTCATTGCAAAAAGAAAAAAAAAACCCCAAAAACTATGTTTAATATTACTGTGAAGGTGCGATGATTAATGGAAGTAATCAGTTGTCAGATTTAGATCATTAATTTTACTAATCTATTAATCATTTATATTAGATTTTTTATTTTAAAATTGTCCAAATCAACTTAAACAGTATATATTCTCAGATTTCTATAGCCCATCATGTTTGGTTGCTATTGTTCAGTAATGAGTCATTTAAACTCCATTGCACATAAAAGTTAAGTACAAACAGCCTTTAAGTATGCAAAATTATTGAAAAAAAAAAACAAAACAATTCTAAAGGTTCAGTGTAAAATTGGATGTTTAACATGCCACAAGAGGAAGCTCACGGAGCACTGGCGGTATCCATACCACACTTTGAGAATCACTATCCTTGGTTTTATGTCCTTTTTAACAGTCTGGTAGCTAGTGGTTTGTTGCCAACTTCCTTGAGCAACAGATTATTTCACTATTAAGGTAAATTAGTCCATCCTGTGTGTTTTAACAGACGTGCAGGTTGTCTCACAAACCGGGACGAAGGCAAAAATACAGCACTTATTTGCTCTTTATGTTGGCTGTTGGCCAGCCTTCGTATCCTACTGACTTTATATATATGTTTTATAATAAGAGCTTCCATCTCGCTGTTTATGTAAGAATGCATACCATTTCTCCTGTGCACCGTCAGCGAGCCTATAAAACCTGCTTTGACATGGTCTGAAAAAACAATGGGTCTCAACCAAAGGGAATGTGCATACTGCTATTGCAATCACTGACTTTACAGTAAAGTAGTCATGGTTCATCCTGCTCATCAAAATAAAACTACAAAACATTCTGTTTAAATGACACTTTCTAAAGACCCCAGATCTATTCCGAAAATGAACTACATTACATTAGATTATTAACCACCATGGCAGACACTACGGTGATATAAGATAAGATAAGAAAACCTTTATTTATCTCACAATGGAGAAATTCCCAATTTAAAGCAGCAAAATTATGAAAGGGAGAAAGTAGAAGACAAAAAGTATTTACATAAATATAAAATATAAATATAAGCACATTAAAAATGGTTGCGTGGGGGTGAGTCCAGGTTTTCATTATATTAATCAGTCAGTAATTTTTTTCACACTATTATTCTTGTTATTCCTGATATGGCTCATCAAATCTGGTCGTTCTACATTAATTACAGTCTCAGTGAGTTCTTCGCCAACCCTGTCTCTGTCCATCATTTCCCTCTAAACAGACTCTTCCTGCTGCTCTGCGGGCACTCAAAGGCAAAGCAGCTCGCCAGTGTCTAACTGAGGAGCTAAGTCTTCATGTTCAGCAAAATCGGGCCATACTGGACCACCAGCAGTTTGACTACATCATTCGGATGATGAATTGTGCCCTGCAGGTAATTCCCACAATTTGTCCCAATCACTTTTCAAACAGTAACCTCAGCTTGCCAGCAATCGAAGGCCTAAAACGTTTTCTTCTCGTGAAAATGACCACACTTTGCTATTCTTCAACTTTGTCAAATGACTGAATGATTACAGTGGTCTGCATCAAAAATAAACAAGAATGACATACATTAATTATTGACATAAATGAAATAATTTTCTCTGTCATTGTTTCTTACCGAAGACAGTGGTAACATTCATTCCCCCAATAGGATCCAGTTTTTCATTTTTTTTTTCTTTGTGGAGTGGGGGTGGACAGGTGGTTGTAAGGCTACTGGGTAGTGCACTGGCCCAGCCTAGGTTCTAAGAACAGTACCTGAATTGCCAAGGGATTCAATGAACATACTGGATCTATTAGACCAGGGGCCCCCAACCTTTTTTGCCCCACGGACCGGTTTATGTCAGACAACATTTTCAGGGACCGGCATTTAAGGTGTGGCGGAAATAATACAACAAAATAATATGGTATGAGCGGCATGAAAATGGTGGCGTTTTCGAAATATAATAATAAACACAAGGAGCGTCTAATCTGGCCGCAACACTCCGATCGCTATGGCAATGTTTAATGTCTTCAAAATACGATACAACGCAAATTCAAAGTGCATGAAAATGATGACTCACCACAGCACCCAGCTTGATTTTCTGCAACCAGACGGTCCCATCTCGGGGTAATAGGAGACAATGACACCTCAAGTGTGTGGTTTATGTCCAGTCTACTTCGTAATTTTGTTTTCGTCGCCGTTGCTGCAGAAACCCCCCGCCTCACACAGGTAGGATGTCGGAAATAGCAACAGTGCTATTGTGGCGATCTTAGAGTTTTCAGCCATAACTTTAATCCAGTTGTCTCGAACGTACTTTTAAGGCCGCTGTCATTTGCGATCTCCAGCAGTTTTTTTTAACTCATTTTGCAAGCTCCTGCGTTTTGTTTTGAAATACTGTAATCGGTCACGTGATGGAGAAGCGTGGCTTGACGTGTGTCAAGCGTGACACAGACGAATGTAACGGAGAATCCGGTAGTTTTTCAAAATAAAACATCTTTCGTATTTCGAAATAAATAAAACGGAATGAAGGCAAGTTCTTTCTGTGCGGCCCGGTACCAAATGCCCGGCGGACCGGTACCGGTCCGCGGACCGGCGGTTGGGGACCCCTGTATTAGACCACTCTAAGAGGAGATTTTTACCTCACTTTGCTGCAAGGTTAATGAGACGAGAGCATATCGAGGAAAACGTTGGATATTTGGAATGATTCTTCATCCGAAACTGCCCTAAAAATGTTCTTGCCTATTTTTTTTATGCAATTTTATTTATTTTGACTCAAATGAGTGTTCTTAGCCACTACTTGTGTGTCTTTGCAGAAAAAAAAAATGCGTCTACCCCACATTTCTTTTCCGACCTCTTACATAAAATCATTTTGAGGTAAAAATAACCACGATTTATGGTTGTGGATCCATCCAGAAAGGAAATCAAAACAGGAAAATACTTACAATGTCCTCAGCTTTTAAGCAAAAGCAGTGTCAGAGAAGCACAATTGTACATAAGACCTACTGTCCGTGGTTCCCCTTCCTCCTAGTTTTATCTTTCCTGTATTCTACAGTTGTTTACAATGTGTCGTAAGAATGAGTCCAGTAATGGTGCTCATTGTTTATATCAGACAGCTTTTTTGTCTCTTCTTGGTGCCATCATGGTCAAAACAAGTGTCAAAATCAGTTCTCCGTGTGTTTTGTGCAGTACTGAAAGAGACCGAGGCTTCACTCAGCTAAAGCAGCCAGATCTTTATTGCTTATGCTTCATTTTTTACTGCCTTGAATCAGCTCTTTCCCTGGATTTTAATCATAGTAAGCAGTCCCCAGTGTACATTTTTCATGGAGTGACTTTGGATTCCAGTCATTTTTTAATACAAAGCCAATTAATCTTGGCAGCTGCTCAGGGTATGAATACAATGTTGAAGTTGTTGCCATGTGACAAAAATATTGATTGGCAGGAGCAGTCTCACCGGCTGACTGGATTATACTGAACTGGTCTTAACGTACTGACTTCCTTACATACTTTACTATCATAGAGTTGCAAAGTGTGCAAGAATAAATTTGGGGAGAATCACATGCACTCCTGGCGTGCTGCTAAAACTCGTGACACACATTCAGATTTTACTATGTTTTTTTTTTCTTTCATTGGAGCCAGGCATCTGTTCTGAGCTCGTTTTTTATGGATTTCTTTGAGATGAGTCGAGAAAGGAATATAAATAGAATACTGGCGGTCAAGTTATTAGAACTTCACACCCTTTCTTGCAACACCCTGCCACATAACAGACTCGGGGTGATATTTTAGTTGTGTGTGGGTGTGAGAGAGAGGGAGAGGGAGAAGGGGATCAGCGTGACCGATCCTGTAAAAAATGTTGCTGGCAATTATAGAACGATAGCATGATGCCTCATTAGGATTTCTGGCATAACATGTATGTGACACGTTGATTCACAATGACATCATCATGAGGAGGCCAATTATTCGCATTTAAACTGTTCCCCTCGGGGTAAATAACAGTTTTGGTTTGTGGTTGTAATCAGTGTTCACAGTTCAGAAGGTTTTTCAGGTTCAAGTGTTGGCCTGTGAAACAAAACTGTACAGTAAGTCAAACGTCTGCATAGTCGAGTCAGGTTGATTTAATTTGCATGTAGGGATGCAACTTGTGATCGGCAGTAAGAGTTTTACAATATTTTTTCCTGTTGAAACAAAGGTTGTTATCCTTTTCTGTGCTTCTGCCATGAATCACCCAAAGTAACGAGCCTCACTGACGCATTTGAGCTAATTGCACATTAAGTTGTGTGCGCATGCACACCGGTCAGTGCTCCTGCTCTCCACAGTACACAAGCCATGTGGGGGAATGAGGCCTGCTGTGGATGTATCCTGGCATCCCAACCATTTCCTGTCAGATAGGATTATTAGCCCTCTGTGCTCTGCTCTCTCGTGGCCCAGGGCCTCATCTTAGTTAAAAAACACACTCTGAATGGCAGTTTACTAGGAGAGGGGATTATGGTGAGAGGTTCATCTGGCCACAGTGCCGCCGAAGCCATATGTCCCACATGACGGTGAGGCAAAAAGTGGGGAAGACGAGCGCATGTTCCACACGGATGTTCAGAGAAAATTGATCTCACTGTTGTCTTGGCGCAGACATACTAGAGGCACCCCATGTTCAGCTCAATCAGTTGGATGTCCAGTGTGGCCAGGTAAACATCTGTTGAAATCAGATTTCAAACCTCTCAATACACCACAGAGGTCAACTATGTGGCCTTCTCTTCCTTTCTTTTAACTCACATATTTTTATGGAGTATATGTGCGTAAAAGTGCCTTTTACGTGTGCATTCCAGACACATCACTTCATTCCAGCAGATTTCCTGGATAGTGTCTCAGGAAGTTTCCCTTTGTTCACTTCCTGCATCATTTTTGTCGCATGCTTGAGTTCCTTGTTTGCGCTCGCTGCATGGTGTACGTGTCTGAGGCCGAATAGCCACGTTAGTCATCATAGCCGTGAAGAGTTCCCGCAGCTTCAAGGGGGAGGAAAAGACTGGTGAAAAGTACAGTAAATAATGGGAGGAAAAGAAGACAGTGGGATGTCGTATTGGCCAGAAACATGAGGCTGCACATTAGAACAAGTTCTTGTCTGGAAATCCTTGACACCCCGAATAAATTAGCATGTACTCTCCAACCTGCATGCAGTGAATCCATTAGTGGCATTGCCTTCAATACCTTGCTAATTTTCCTCATTCCTTTGGATAATCAGTTTTCACTTCACTTTGGGTTTATTCTTAGCCGCTTTGTAGATTGTAGTGGTTATCTCCTTGTGAGTTTATCTAGAAAGCTTTTGTGCTGTCGCTACTCATCCAGTCTGCTTTGAGGAGATTGTAGGTGATAATGAAGTATGCTTAACACAATGTCATATACTTGACATGTGGCATTTTAGAATCCAACAGATGTTTAGGCTGCATATGTATGTATATATGTTAGCAAAAAAATATCTAGTAAAATAATACATACTTTTTATGACACGATTTCCAAACGTGGTGTTTGGGGTTATTTGAGTCAACCATGATATTTTGTGTGTGTCTGGATTATAAATGACCACCTCCTACTGGCCTCCAACTTCTCTCTATATTGTGTTTGTTGATTTCATTATCTGAAAAATTCAGTTGCAAAGAAAAGCAGCAATTCAGTTTCATTTTAAATCACATGATCAATGACAATCAAAAAAGATTAGATGCATCATAGTTTGGCTTGCTAGATATTCACTCATTACCTGTGCATTTCCGACCGGGAACTGCAGTGACCTGCAGCATTGTTCCCTATGCCGGTAAACAATGCTCTGATGCCGCTCCAAGGTGGAACTTTTTATCGCAGCCCCAATACCACAAAAGACAAACACAAGTGACGAGCAAACTAAAACAAACGTGTGTTGCTTAGACCATGCAGGGGGCAGGCAGGCTTTCATGTGTAGCTGTTGCACTTATGTTTTGCATTTTCGCTCCTCTGTACATTCTTCTTTTGGTCTTCTGTTCTTGAGCAATGATGGCAACAGGGGCCCCATTACAGACCACTATCAGAGAATGCTGCATTCTTCACCCTATGCTGTGAACTCTTGATTTCCCAATGTGTGCCTGTGTTTACGCAGATACTTTTTCATGACTTTCAAAAGAAATGCTCATACTTTTTTGAGGGTCATGAGGTACGCCACCAGGTCAAAATCAGTGTATGGTATTACTTTTGTTTCTTCTGGCGGAATTCTCTCTGTAAGTCCAGTTGCTTATCCTGATGTAGCTTAGCACCAATAAGTACCAATTTCCTGTGATTTAAGTACATTTGGAGTCCGACTTGCATCCTTTTCTCCTGTTCTCATCAGGTTTTTTTTTTTTGGAGCCCCAAAGCTCCTGCTGGATGAATCTTCATGTACTTCCCATCCCAACAGTGTTCTCTTGAAACAGAGAAGAGCCACCTCTTTGACCCTGACCGAAACTAAAATACAGTGTGGACATGCCTGCCAAAGTGTTGAGCAGTTAGTTGTCATTTTTGTGACAGAAACACTGTATTGTATCCAGGTTATGCTGAACGTGGATAGAGTTAAGCCTAAAATGATCAATTCCCTGTGATTTTAGACTTCAAGTGGATATTTGTTGGATGGTTATTGTTTACCTAGAACATACCCAAGAATCTGTAAAGCCGCTATAGGATTGTGAGAAAATATGTTGATTTAAAGCAAATTATTATTATTATTATTATTATTATTATTGACATGCTGTGATGAGAAAAGGTTCCATGTCCAAAAATTCTTCATACCGTTTCTCAAAAAGATTGTTCAAGATTCTACATTTCTAATTGATTAGAATGCTGGAGAAGATTGTATTGGATGGAGCCTTTTCAATGGTCAAATTCTGTTTCTTCAAAATCTTAGATATGAATATTTTTTTTCAATTGGAAAAAGAATCAAAATGGCGAATACTTTTTGATTTAGATTTCTAACATGATTTTGCTCTAATTCCTCGTTTCATTTGTAGATAGAGGAAATTTAATCTAAGCAAGAAGAAAAATTGGAAGATGAAAATTAGAATTAGAAGATGAAGGTGGTGCCCATGGTATAAGTCATAAATCTGTCCACGAATGCAATGGCAGTGTTTATGCAATTAGTGCAAGCTAATATGCATGATATAGTTGATATGTCAGAGGCATGATTATAGATAATGCTATAAAAAAAGTTGCTAATATGCAGAATATTTCTTAAATAGTACATGTTGTAATATGGCTAAACAGCCAAAAGTTTGCCATTTAGTAAATATTGATTCGCAAATTTGGATCGCTTTGGGCTAACATTTTCAGTTGGGTTCTGTGTTTTCGACAGTTTATTTTCCATAGCACCTCTATGATTGTTATTATTATTTTTTTACTTTTTAAATGTGCCTAGGGCCAATAAAAAAAGATCGTAAAACCTAGCAAGTTTCCAAGACAGATGGACAAGCAGGTGCAAGGAGAGACAACAAAAGAAAAACTGCTGGCAGGGGTAACACTTAATTTGTCACCGTGGAAATATTTCCAACCAGTCCTTGAAAATCATTGGGTCTACCTCGGCATGACCAGATGGCTCTGGGGGGGAAAAAAAAAAAAAGATTTTATGCAACATGTTATGAAAGTTTGCGATAAGACTTGTGTGATCTGGTCAAGATTGCAAATAAAAATGTTGCAAATAAATTCAAAACTTATGTGCTTTAACAAGTGTGTGAGGGCAAGCATTATATAAAGCTATTGAAAGCATATGTCTATGTCTACTATGGACCATGGTGAAGTGAGTGGTTTTGGCAGATTTTATTTTTTTGGGCACTGACATTGAACAGGACACGACTGTCTTCATGTAAATGGGTATTTGGATCATTTTACCCCTTAGTGTTCATCACATTGATCATTCCCTTGTGTCACATGCATGCTTGATGTCTAGTTGGACAGAACATTTCTTAAGATATGGCTGAAGAGCATGTACGAGATCACACAATGTCTTACTTTTCCTTTACCAAAACATGCATACCCCATCCCTCCCTTCAGTGGTCCTGGTGTGTTTTGTGAGCTGTAACAGAAATGCGTAACCTGTGACCTGCTGCGTCTTGCCCCACTCTCACTTGTCCCCTGTTGTTTGACTTACAGGACTGTTCCAGCTCAGAAGAATACACCGTGGCTTCTGCACTGCTGCCACTGTCAACAGCTTTTTACAGAGTAAGTAGGTTCATTCAACACAGATGTGTGTTCCACGTCAGGCTTCTGTTTCGCTCATTTCACAGATAATGCATACAAAGGGTTTTGGGTGGCACGTGTGGCTAAAACCACTTCCAGTCCTTTACATGCAGTAGGTTTGAGCCTTTAAAACACCCAACAATCATACATATTCACTATATAATGGTGTCCTGACTTCCGAGTCTAATTTGTTGCACGGCCACTCACTAAAACAGTTAAAGCATCATTGTCACAGTGGAGAACTGACTTGGACTTAGTTTCCAAACCACACTGTCAGTGGAGAATAGCTTACCATAGCTCATTACATGTACCCACGGCTTGTTGCTATGGGGACAGACACAATTGGCCACATTGCCATTTTGTTGGGTACCAGCATTTTATCCTGTTGAGCTAGACTGAAACCGGAGTTGCACTTGAGCGCTACATGGCTCTTACTGTTCAGTTATTAACAAAGAAAATAAAAGCATTAAAAGAGAAGGCTTTCATTGATTGGTGCTGGTTTAAAGATTTGAAAGCGTGTGGTTTCATAGGATTTCTGTTGGCCAGTGGACTATCACTAATAATTTCTTACTCGGCCTTGAAAGCCAATAAAGGAGTCTCAAGCAGCATATAGCACCGTTTTTGTTTTGGCAACTAGTTTTTGCCTCACCTAGTCGGTAAAAAGCAAAGCAAAGTCAGCCAAGAATATGCGCCTGCCCCCCCCCCCCGCTTCCCCCCCAAAAACACCAACAAATAGATTCCGTAAAAACTGGTGCAAGAGTCACACACTAGAACCAGGACATAAACAGAGATAAGTAATGGAGTGTCCCACAGTCACCATCTCCAACTACGCGGCGTTTCCCAACCAATGTGAGCACTGTTGCCTTTTGGTACTTTTCCACCTCGCTTATAAATAAATTATCCCATTCTTTGCAACATTGTTTCATTTCTTGAACTTCATAGACATTCAATTCTTAAGCTTTGGAGTGAAGTTAATGTCTGCACTTTGACTGGACCCTCACTCGTCTCTCCCCCTAGCCCTTCTGTTTTCTTTTTTTTCCCTTTTTTTTGGAGGGGGGTGGGCATCATTATCGTGTTAAATGTCTCTAAAATATGTTGGTGCACACAATACGTGGTTGATTAAATCATTGTAAGTGGCCTAGATCCTGTGGCAGCGACATAAGCCCAACATATTTGGTTTGCGCCAATTGTGGTGCAGTGCATGATGGCCAGGCATCTTCACTTCGGTCTCATATTTCCAAAAAGATTGCTTGGCAGGTCTTGTGTTTTCCCCCCACCCCCCTCCATAAGTTAAGACAGACCGCCATGTTCATTTTAGACACGAGAAGACTTTCTCTTGGCAACCCTTCAAAAGAAGACACACAGGGACAGCTGTTTTCTAAAAGCACAATGTTTCATCAACTTTTTACACCGACTGAGATGTAGTGCTTGGGTTTATTTCAATGTTTCATGAAATGTTTGGTTCATAGGGAAACTGAAAAGGACATTATATTCCTGGTTGAAATGATAAGGACATGGCCATTTTTGATTAAACTTTAATTTGGACAAATTGTGTACTTTTGCCACAAAATCTGTACTGTACTAATTTCATCCATTCATCATGATTCACTCATTTGTTTTTGAAGTCTTGTAGGAAATCTCAGATTTTTTTTTTCCCTAGCCCTCCTGGGGATTAAGATTGGAGGATGCCGTTTGTCAACAATGGGCATGTGAAGCCCTTTGAGATTTTTTTTTGTGATTCAGGGCCATATGAATAAATTTGACTTGACTCATATTTGTGAAATCCTATTTTGCACATCTCCTTAACTTTATTTTGAAAAGGGAGCATGTTACAGTGAATGCATGAATGCATTGAAGCTCACAGTATTTATTGACATGGTTGTGGAAAAAAAGTGGAATTTCATATGTATCATATGTTTGAGCATAAGCGTTTCGGATAATGGAGGGATGTTTCTGTGGGTCCTAACCATCAAGACATGAGTAATGAAATCAATTTGTTGAAACCACACTAGTTGTGTGAAATCATGAACAAATTTAATGATTTTGTAGTTGTCATTTCCCATGACTATGTTTGAAATGTTTGAAGACGGTTTGTCTTTAACTCTAGTACAAAAGTCACATTCGGGAGTCCAAGTTCGCCCTGTTTTCGCCTTGTTGTTGTCAGCGATGCTATCCACAAAAATCTCATGTATATTCCTCAAGCCAAGCATCATGGGAGTGTTTTGGTTTGTTTCCATATGTTGACGCTTACAGCTGATGTTGTTGACCCACATTCTTCGTTCATTCCCAAAAATCCTCTGCTTTTCGGTGTCCCCTGACTCTTCTAACATACTGTACATTGCAGATCATGCTTGTTAACATTTGCGATAGAAGAAAGGACAAATGCATGTCCGAAATATGCCGTTGCATTTTCCATGTGTGCTTGCCAGTTGGTAAAGTTCATCTAGGTTTCATCTAACCACAGTCGCCCTTTATCAGATGCAATCAGTGAGTTTTGTCGAGCTGCACATTTCCTCTGGCCTTTATTATATAAAGATGAGTGTTGATCGGGAGAGGACAAGGCATCACCGACATTTGTATATATCTTTGTTTTGCATAATATTCAATCCATTTGAATGTGCCACAGCAGATGTCTTTGTTCTTCTGGGTGCAGTGTGTTTTATCCGAGCAGATCAAAAGAATTTGATGACCCACTCTGCCGGAGCACTCTGCTGTGAGTTGGGGGAGTTGGCTGGGCATTTTCCTCCAGCATGTCCTCATGCGCAATGTGACGCACTGGTTGACCCTTGTGCAACTCCAAAAATGTTCAACTTCTGGTTTACTTAATCTATGTTTACCTTCTTTTGGAACATTTACGTTACTTGTACAATGTGTGATTACACAGTTATGTTTTATCGGCGCGTTTGTTTATGATTCTGACTTTCATTATTATCCTATATATTTAATTTTTTTTCTCAGGAGATTGATTATGCGCCAGGCAATTATGCATTTCCATAGAGGGAGAAATAATTACTTTTTTTTTCTCTGCCATTTGGGAATACTGAATTTCTTCCCAATACTTTTTCTGCCTCCAGGCTGGTGACATATTGGGTTCGATTCAGCGTTTTCAGTGACAACATGCACCATCACTCATTACCCGCGAGACATACTTGACATGTGATGTCCCGTCAGTGCTTGAAGGCTATTTACTGGTTGTCATACCATGGACCTCAGGACCGTACCCCTTAAGTTAAAAACAAGATCACAGATCATGAGAGCCCCTTTACCATTTACTTACACACATTTTTTCCCTTGCATCTCCTTTTTATTTTTCATTTTTGTCTTGTTTTTACCTCTCTCTCAAACGTACATTCCATGCACCACAAGTCGAGTACCTCAGCCAGATGGGTCTGATAGGAGTATACTCCCCTTTTTCGCTTTAACTTGAATTCCTTATTTCCTTCCCTCCTCCCTCTCTATTATTCTCCCTTTCCCCATCTCCCGCCTTGCCATCTGTCTTGTGAGTGTCTTGCTATATTCGGAAGAGATGACCTAGGTCAAAATGACCTGCGCATATCCGAAGAGTCAAAAAAACACCCAGGCTGAGTATAGACAGCATAGACACGTCACGAACACTGCCCCTGTACACAAATACACTCGCGCATCTGCTTTTGGAAACAGAGCATGTAGCACAGAGAGGTGTTCCAGCGCTTCTGACTGGTCCCCCCTGCTGTTCATATTTACCTGTTTGTTTGTAATTGAGTTTCTTTCATCCTTAAATCTTAAATTTAACTTGTCTGTGCAGAATCTAGACTACAATGCAATCCTCTTTTGCACGCACTGTCATCTTTGGTCTCAGTGCAGTCTTCAAATTATTTTTGACGGAAGTTGAGCTCTTTTTTATTTTCTGAAATGACTTTGCAATGACTTATTGTATTATTTAGGCTGATGAGGGGACATTTTTGTTGCCCTCAATGTTGCATAATAGAAAACAGAGCATATTAGTCATAGTGTATTGATTTAAACAAAGATTAATTATATGAAAGTGCAGTGGGTGCAGTTATATTCCAGAGAGAGAAGAAACAATATGAAGACGCTCAAAGCAGAGCTCAACATTTCTCACTCTTGACAGGAGTGAGAAGCCAGCATTTCCACAACTGTCTCCTGCCTTGCTTTCTGTGTGTAAGGGACTGTGAAGTTGACCCACTAATTTGCCAAGCTTCCGACTTGGTGTTCGAGACATGACAGGCAAGATTGGTGTGGAGTTGAGCACCCGAGACACACTGTCCTTTTGTGTTGAAAACAATAGTGGCTGTCAAAGTTGAACTTTTGCATCCTCTGTGTGAGCGTATATTTCGGACAAGACAGTGTTCTGCTTCCAGTTTACGGGGAACGTAATAGAAAAGTGGCCATCAAGATATTACGTTGTTAAAAGAATACTCTATATTTATACAAGTCCACCAGTCGAAAATTTGAACACACCTTCTCATCGTCGTGTAAAGCGTGTCCTAACGTTTGACGTGCAGTGTAAATCTTCTGTGATTTTTAAATTGTTTTCGTTTAAAAATTCATGAAAGTCCTCACCTTTGTTTCTATTCCCAAATAACGTTTGCCCAGTTCTGTAGTGTGTAGTGTAAAACAAGAGAAGCACAAGGCTTTGCAGGGTGTTGCAGTAACATGTTGTTTTGTTTTGTTTTTCTCCTAAGAGGCTTGATTTATAAGTTTGTGGTCATCAGCTGCATTTTGGGCATAGTTTTATTCCGAGCTTAATTATAATGTTATTGTTATCAATGAATCCAATGAACTTGGATCCAACACAGTTCGCATGAGGAACAGCAGTTGGAGGTTGTCAGTCTCTTGGCTTCAGGCCCATCGTAGAGGGATTAAAGCTGTTTTGTTTCTGCTGGTTATAATTATATTAACCACCTCCCGCTTCTCATAGTTGTGGATAAACAATGAAATAACAATTAAAAAAATAAAGAACAACAACAAATAAAAACTGCTCAAATCAGGGGTGAAAGGAAAAAAAAACAGCGCCAGGTCTTAAAATATGAGCATCACACTGAATGAAGATGGACTGTTGTTTTGAGTCATGTTTGTCTATTTTATTTAGGTGTTACCCGAAGTTACATTGTGGTGTTCCAGAGTGGAAACCAAATTTAGTGCCAGAAGCATTGCAGGTTGCCTTTTTGAGTTGTTTTTGCAAGTGACAAGTGCTAAATGTTCATCCCCCACTAAAAAAAAAACAAAACAACAAAACAACACGAAATACCCAGACACGGGGGGTGTTACTGCATTAAGTACACTCAAAGCTTCACAGATTCTAATTTAGATAATGGATTAATTTTCCTTGAAGTCATGACTGGTTCGACTCTTGTATTTGAGTGAAGTGGAAAAACAAGAGCAGCTGTCAATGTCATCATATTGAAAAGAATAGTAGTAGTCGAAGTAATAGTTTCATTCTGAAGATCCTAGCTGCTTATTTTAAATCAAAGGAGACCTGCGCTATACAGTGTTTCTCTTGCTTACAATGGTCAGGCTCATTTTCATTGTCTTTTAATGCTTTTTTGTCTTTTAGAAATTGGTTGCTGGGGTGAACCAGTTTGCCTACACCTGCATCCAGGACCACCCCATTTGGACCAACCAGCAGTTTTGGGAGGCCACTTTCTACGGCGAGGTCCAGAGCCAGATCAGAGCCTTGTACCTCAACAGCCCGGAGGAGAAGTGGGGCATCAGTGTCAGGCTGAAGGTAAAATGATGCTGTTGCTTGAGCTTGGATTTATCTGTAGTCTCATTTAGCTCATCTCTTTTAATCCATGTTAGAGATCATTTAGACACAATTTTACAAAGCTGTAACAGGTTAAAATAACTTTGATTAGAGATTTTTGGTTGCTCTTGTCATTTCATTTAACACTTTGTTCAACTACATTAATTGGTTTTGAAGAAAGGTAGGACACTACTTTAAATTTAAACTTACCATGAATTTGCAAAAAGGGCAAATGATTTCATACCAGCCTCTGTCGGGCAGAAACCCATGTATGTCTAATTTCTTATTTTTTTCCACAAATCAATACTCTTGGTCTGTCCCCATATCACCTCTTATTTTTACACATTATTAACCAAGTTAAAATGTTGAAAAAAGCTTGAGAACAAATCTATAATTCTTTTCAATACTTCAGCTGTCTGAGAAGTACTGTATTGTAAACCTTTGCTTCTTCCTCACTCCACAGGAGCTGCGTGTCAGTATGTTGCCTCAAAATTCAAACTACTTTGGTGTGACAATAAGTAAAAGTAGGCAAGTCATATGAGTAAGCCTGCATTGTTAAAAATGGATCGTTGTAATCCTTCAGTAGTCAGCCACAATGGTAATTGCGCGCAGGTTCATTTCTGCCTGTTACACTGCTTAGCTAATTTGGAGTGTTCCGTTAACCTGCCATTCATGTTTTTGGAATGTGGGAGGAAACCGGAGTACCCGGCGATAATCCACTGAGGCACGGGGATGAAAAAAATCAATTGATTAATCGATTACTTAAGAAGCACGTGATGTATTGACCGATCACACTCATGGATGATCGTATCGGCAGCTTAAAACCCAAATCGGAACATCCCTAGTAATAAGTGCAGATTGAACTTCAAATTGTATTGTTGGAAAACTATTAAATGAGAGAGTAGTATAATTGTATTGAAATAATACTTTTGGGGTTACCGACATAGCCTCTTCAGACAGTTTTTTTTTTTTTTAAATTATGAGCTAACCGGTTGTCTGTTTTCTGCACGTAATCTTTACTCTTAAATCAGAGCTTTTTGTGAACTTCCCTCAATCCTCTCAAACATTTCCTCTCCTACCGTTGCCATCTTCTTCCAGGATGTGGGCACAGTGCCCGGAAAAGACGAGGAGCAGACAGCGATGGATCTGGCCGCCGTGCAGCTGCGCTTGTGGCCAAGCCTGAGCAAAGAGAAGCAGCAGGAACTGGTGAAGAACGAGGAGAGTACCATTTTCAGCCAGGCCATCCATTATGCCAGCCTCATGGTATACTTGCTGGTTCCTTTGGACACCAGCAAGAACAAGCTGCTTCGCAACACGCCCGCAGCCGACTGGGAGAGTGGAAGCAACAGCATCGTCACCAACAGGTGAGCAGATAGATGAAAGAGGTTGGTTCACTTTCTTGAGTTTACACGTTATTTTCTTTTAGCGGTGCTCTTTCGCATTAAGCCGAATTATATATTTCCATATTGCCGTTGTGAAAATGGCTGCTGTTGTGCCCATTGTTCTCAAGTCCCTCCCTCTGTCGCTCAACCCCTCTACCTGTTTTTTCTTTCTCTCTTTACCCTCTGTCCCTCTATTTTGTTTCTCCATCTCAACCCAACTTGCCGAGGCAGATGGTTGCTGTCGGAGGTTTCTTCCTTACGTTAGAGGGAGTTTTTCCCTGCCTCCATCACAAAGTGCTTTTTCTATGTGGGGTTCAGTTGGTTTTCTTGCATACATAGAGTAGTGCCTTGAGATACAAGTGACCAGACCTTTGAGGGTTTTTTTTTTTTTTTTTTTTTTTTAATAAGCCGTCTTTTGTTTTTAGTGAGGCTTTCTCTTGGATGTCATTAATGGGGCCACTTTGTACTAGAGGGTGACACGGGAGTGCATTTTTACCCCCTTCCCACTTCCACAGTAAAAAATCCATCCTGTCCCAATCCCAGACCATAGTATAAAAAATATATATATTTTTATAATCATGTCTCGTCCCACTCCCAGTGAAAATGACTGCCAATACCGTACCACTCCCATTTTGGATGTCAGCTATATTAAAAAAAAAAAAAAAAAAAGACTAAAGTTACATTTTACTCATATATAACTGTTTGTCGTCCCATTTCTCCTCGTGGACTCACTCTCACTATTTTGTGCAACACAGAAAAGAAAACAAATTTGTCTGCTCCCATGAACTTTTTATCCCGTCCGTCCCAATTCCATGATTAAAGGTAAAGTTGAGTCCCATCCCGTGGGAATCGTGCGGGATTCTTGTGACCCGCAGGATTCTTGAAAAAAAAGTCAAGTCTCTCTGTAAATCAACTCAAATAGAACAAAAGAGCAGTGATTATGCTTGCTGAACACTGTGAAGTAAATCTTCAAAGTGGCTAGCTTGTTGCCAGAAACCCTCAGATGAACACAATGTTCTCATTTTGTTTGTGGTGTTTACCTATTTTTTTCACCCAAATTTTGACATTTCATTCTCAAAACTGCCTCGAGATGTAAAATTTTATTTGTTATGTTTTGAATTGTATTGTATGAGACAACAGCTGCAAAATTGTTTGGGTAGTCATTTTTCTTCATTGTTTTTTTTTTCCTCTCCATTGTGGCCCCAGACCTTTGCTTTTTATAGAAGACATTTGGATCCTGTCACTCACTAGTGAGGATTCCAGAAGGCAATTTGCTTCATGTGAAACATTCGCTATGGCTAATAGATTGATCCCAGCATCAACACGTTTCCTGTGCCGGTCTCACTGCTCCTTTATCACTTCTGTCGACACGCAGCTCTCCCATCTCCCCATGGACACAGCAGCTTGACCCTTTACATGTTCTTGTTTTTCATCATACCATTTCTCATTTATAGCATCGCTGGCAGTGTCGCTGAGAGCTTCGACACAGAAAGCGGCTTTGAGGATTCGGAGAACAGCGACGTGGCCCATTCAGTGGTCAGATTTGTGGCTCGCTTCATCGACAAGGTGTGCACTGAGAGCGGAGTAACCCAAGAACACATCAAGAACCTCCACAGCATGATCCCTGGTACGTCACAGACGGTGTTCATTCACGTATATGCTGTCCTAATTCCCTCAGCTTTGTTCAGAGTAACTCCTACTGGTGTTTATTCTCAGTAACACCGGCCTTTGAGCTGATTAACTCCTGACATGTTAAATGGCCTTAAAATCTCAAAATACACACACTGCTTGTGTGAATGTGTGCGAGCACATGTGTGTCTTTGTACGGGTTCTGTGGACACCAGGTAACCTTATCTTGTGACCCACAGGCGTCGTCGCCATGCAGATGGAGGCTCTCGAGGCAGTTCACAGGGAGAGCAGGAGGTTACCGCCCATTCAAAAGGTGTGTGATGCTCCACATGGCAACATGTTTGGAGCATATATAGTTCAAGTTGGGTACAAGCATTAAAACGTGCACCTGAATCACTCCTCCTGAGACTGTCGACAATAAATGTAACTACCATCCATATAAGCAATCATGTAAGGGAAGCTAGGCAAAAAACAATATTTTTATAGTTTCAGTGACATATATACTGTAAGTGTATGTATTTATTTAGGCGGCACTGTGGTAATCGCGTCGACCTCACAGTGCAGAGATACAGGGTTCAATTCCAGCTCCGGCCTCCCTGTGTGGAGTTTGCATGTTCTTCCCGGGCCTGCATGGGCTTTCTCCGGGTACTCCGGTTTCCTCAAACATTGCAAAAAATATGCATGGCAGGCTGATTGAACACTCAAAATTGTCCCTAGGTGTGAGTGTGAGCGTGGATGGTTGTTCGTCTGTGTGTGGCCTTCGATTGGCTGGCAACCGGTTCAGGGTGTCCCCCGCCTTCTGCCCACAGACAGCTGGGATAGGCTCCAGCACCCCCCGCCACCCTTGTGAGGATAAGCAGATCGGAAAATGGATGGATGGATTTATTTATTTAAAACCTAACTCCTTTTTTTTGTTAATATAGGCTCACATTCACACTTCTGGACAATTCTGTCTTCAAGTGACTGAACATATTAACACATTTTTACAAGCGGGAGAATCCACAAAGCACACACACTGAATTTTCTCAAATGAAATACTCACTTCACCTGAACCATTTATTTTGTTGTCTGAGTCAGATGAAAATACCGGTAGTTCAAACAGTTGTGACACATTGTTTCCATTTCAAAAATGTTTGTATCATTTTCCTTTGAATTTACCACCATGTTGTATGCACATAGTCTGATTCGAAACATTTTGTTCTGCAACAGCAGTGTGGTATTTTAAATTTCTGAAATGTGAACCCATAATAAGATTCTATGTGAATCAGTATAATGTGACACTGTAAGCAAGCAAATAAGCATGATTTTCCTTGGCGGTTTTCTTAAGCTTCATATTGGTTTTAAACTTTACAACACATTAGTTTCTGAGCCACTTTTTTTGAGCCACAAAAACAACCACAACAGAAAGTGATAATATTCGTTGACCTTTTTTGTAGACCGTGGCATCCAACTCTCATCCCCAGTTTTTAATTCCCTTTCCTGGTCATGTGCAGCAAGTGGAAGCTATCCAATGTTTTCAAGTGCACTTTTAAATATTTTACTTGGTATTTTGAACCCCTCTGTGTTTTTATTGCCTCTGCCAGCACTTGGTAATCCTTGTTACACGCACTCATACACACAGACAAACACCATCCCAGTACTGCCTTGAGACCAACCTGGAAGCTGTGGTGAGCTGAGCTGTCTGTTGAACTTTGTGGCTCATTCCAAGCTGGACTGCTAGCTGCAAGACGCATGCCAAATACTAAAAAGTGTCTAAACAACAGTGGCACCGGCCTCATGACGAGTCCGAGTAGTATTAGTAATAGCAGCTCTGATTTCTGAAATGAAAAACAGGGAATGCATTAAAGATGCAATCTAATACCTCTTTTAAACTGCTGACCCGGGTCAAAGAAGGTTCTTGAACCAATGTTCATCTGATTCACTTAGCCCATGACAAACCTGGACCATTCTGAAAGGGTCCCCATTAACTTACTTTAAATGAAAAGGATTGGCATTGCCTGACATTTGATTATGATTATCAAAACCCCATTAGACACCAATAGACATATTCACCATGATGTCATACCTGCTTCCGGGTGGCAATAGTTCCGGTGACACCACTAGTAAACAAACTCTTCTGTCATTTGACCAAGGCTCGTGAAAACAGAGTAAATGATTAATTTCTCTACTACCATGGTTTGAATGTGTCACGTGCCAGTTGAAAAGACGTGTGTGTGTGTGTGTGTGTGTGTGTGTATATATATATATTTTTTTTTTTTTTTAATTGAAAAAAGTAAATTGGAAAAAAGTTTTTTGGGGGTATACTGTACCTGAGAGCAGAACCCCAAACAAGTAGTTTCTCATCGTTTACCTTGCAGTCAATGGTGGTCACTCGTTTCCTGCCACCCGGAAGTACCCGAGCACCTATTGTTTCCAAACATGATGAAAAGGTCGATAGTCGGGGTTACTGTGTCAGATACAGTTTGCAGTACTCTCTTGAAACACGCCCAACGGCCTACATTCACTAAAACAGCTGAGATCAAATGGACAACAGCGTTATGAGACTGGTTCCACGGCTGCTGTGATCCCAGTGCGAGCTGCATATTGTGTTAGTGTGACCTGCCTGCATGCTGTAATTATTTACCTCCGATGAACTTCACGTGCTCTTGATTTCGGTGTTGGTGGTTTTAAAGTGAGGCTGTACTCCCTTTGGTTGCTTAGGTATTGAATACGTTGCAGCCCTCTATTGATTAGCCTCAATTTAATTGGAGGGCAAAATGTGGGAAATGCAATATTTGCAGCTGGCATGATGAAAAACGGATTATTGTGGCAGTGATGAGCCTGATTTAGCATGCAAGATGACCCATGTTAATGAGTGTCTCATTTCAATGAATTAATTTTCTCAAAAAAAGCTGAATTGTATTCCATTGTGGTATTAACCAACAGTGGGAATTATTGTTTGAAAATTAAGCTGTATGTGTGCCTGTTTTTGAAAGTGTCATGCATGTGGAGTTCGAATGTCTATCATGGCGATTTCACATTGTAATTGAACATATTTAAATGCTCTCATACTGATACGCTTTTAGATTTGGACTTCCAAGAATTCAAAATGAAAAATTACATATTTTGGGTTGTTTCTGGGTTTAACTTTCAACATGTCGTCCCATCAGCCTAAAATTCTACGTCCAGCACTGCTTCCTGGGGAGGAATTTGTGACCGAGGGGCTGAGGGTGCTTTTGGATCCTGATGGCAGGGAAGAAGCTACCGGGGGCCTGCTGGGGGGCCCACACATCCTGCCAGCAGAGGGAGCACTCTTCCTCACCACGTACCGCATCATCTTCAAAGGCATCCCCCATGACCCCCTGGGTAAGTTCACCTTGCGCCAATGAAGGTTTCGAAGATAACGACAAGAAACACTGATGCAGTCATGTGCTACCAACCAATTTGAGTTTATGCCATTGTATTTTATCCCTGTTGCACTGTCCATACTTCTGCATGTGTCATTGTCCACGTGTGCAGTGGGGGAGCAGGCAGTGATCAGAGCCTTCCCAGTGTCCACCTTAACTAAGGAGAAAAAGATCAGCATCCAGAACCAACTGCAGCAGAACATGCAGGAGGGTCTCCAGCTACGCTCTGCATCCTGTCAGGTGATTAGATGGCAGGTTTCTCCATACAGTGGTGCCTTGAGATACGAGTGACCCAGGATACCAAGCCATCATTTCGGCAATTTTTTTTTCATTTTGACATGCACTTGCAAACCTTAGATATGAGCACTGTTTGGTCGCAGTGAACTCAATTCTACTCACTTCACAATAAACAGCCATATGCCACATAGTGAACATTTCTTCATAAAAGTTGCTTCGAGCTGTTTAATACCACTCACAATTTTATCACAAGTTTACTGTCAAACAAAACAAAAAACACAGAGAATGTTATGTGCATTTAAAACAACACCGTGACTTTAGGAAATTCCAGTCAAAAAAATCAACACTAAACATTGACATGCTAATGGCTAGCATCAATATTCAGTTTGAGAAGCAACAGAAATTTGAACACAATCCTGGTGCAACACATGAACAAATAACAGTACTCGTCTGTACAACAGTATTCATATTTCCTTTATCCTGTACAAAAAATAATTATCACAGCATCTTACTGAGTCACTTGAAGTAGTCGGAGAAGTACCACTCGTCTTCAATTTGTTTCTGCAGACATCGCACGTCTGACAATACTCCTACCTTTGAGTCTTCTTGTTTTCAAGATGGCGCCGTAGTTGGCAGCCGTCTGCAAGAGCTATGCTCTTTGTTGTTTTTGTCTTTTGTTTTGTAATATGGTGTTTGTTGTTCTTCGTGTGGACCCGTTGTGGACTGTTTTCAGCGTTTTGGCCACGACATTCGTTGAAGGAGAAGAATCTGTGCTTGCTGGTTGAGGCTTCTCGGCAACACGCATCTACCAGCACTGATTTTTGATGGAGGGGAATATTGGCGCTGTTTGACAGTCGCAGCTTGACAGCCCCAAAGCGCTTGTGTTTTTTGCGCCTGGAATGGGCAGCATTTTCCACTGGGATATGTTTTGAGTTCTGTTGTCTCAGATTTAATTCAACTTTGATCTGTAGGCACCACTGTATATTCAGATAGCAATGTACATCTTGATTAATTTAATTTTTTTTCTTTTTACAGTTGATAAAGGTGGCTTTCGACGAAGAGGTGAACTCTGAAATGGTGGAGATGTTCAGGAAGCACATACAGCGAATCCGCTACCCACAGTCCATCTTCAGCTCCTTTGCATTTGCCGCAGGGCAAACTCAACCTCAGCTTATCCTTCCAAAGCAAAAAGAGAGGAACACTGGCTTTAGGTTCGTAGTTGATCTTGCTTGATTATGAAAAATATTTTACTAAACTGAATTTCCATCTCTGGAGGTAATCAGATCTAAAAGTCTGGTACCATTTTAACTTAGCTGGAAGTGGTGGACAATCTTCATGTGGTGGTGGGGGAATGCAAGTTGAGTTGTTCTCTGCTCTGCCATCGCTTCAGAACGCTATCCAAGACTATTGTCAAAGGAGCTAAAAGAGCCAGCAAGATCACAATGGGCCGTGGTAGCGTGACCTCACTGAAAAGGAATGACAGAGGCAGCAGAATGACCTGGCCTGAAGATGATGACATATCAAGTGAGAGGGGGGTGGGGGAATGCATCTATCAAGTTCTCGTGATTGAAGCCCAATTTAATTGTAGGTTAAGTGTCAAACTTCACCTCTGCATGTGTGCTACAGTATCAGATGATGGGGAGCCACCACCTTGCAGCACTTTGAGATCGTCCGAGAAGTCCACCATGGAGCAGCTGGTGGAGCAGTCTTGTTTCCGTGACTACCAGCGGATGGGCTTTGGTACGATCACGGCCAGCTCATCTCGCTCCAAGTCGGGCGACCAGTTTCGGATCACGGCTGTGAATAGGCTTTATTCTCTTTGTCGCAGGTACGCCAAATCTCAGGAAGTGGAGAATCCTATGACGCAAATTGAACTTGTGACACGTAATAGTCGAACTGACGAGTTGACTTGCCCCACCCAGCGACTCACTCATCCAATCATATATCACATTCAGACACCATCATCGTCTCACAGACTACCAGACCCTAGCAAAAAGCCACATAAGAGCGTCTTTACAATACATTCATCATTGTGCTGTCCCAAGCAGCGACACTACAGTTGTGTTACGTGAATTCCGACTGTCTGCAAGCTGAATACGATTGGATGATATATTTGAATGTGATCAAGAGAGTCGAGGGAAGTGGTGACTGCACCCGGAAATAGCAAAAGCGTGTTTTTGGAGGCACAAGGAAAGCGGTTACATGGATGGCTATTTAACATTTAATGACTTAACCCTTGACTTGACTCAACTATCACCACTTTAGTGACACATACACTTTCTCTATCATTTGGCCAAGATAAATATTTTTTTGTGTCTGCTTCAGTTATCCGGGTCTGCTGGTGGTTCCCCTGGCTATACAAGACAGCAGTTTACACAAAGTGGCACGATGCTACCGGCACAACCGTCTGCCTGTTGTGTGTTGGAAACATGCTCGCACCAAAGCTGTGCTGCTGCGCTCAGGAGGCTTCCATGGCAAAAGTGTGGTGGGATTGTTCAAGTCACAGAACCCTTCTTCAACAGGTGAGCTTTAATGTCTTTGCAAGAATTTACTTTACTTTTTCAGGGCCTCTGTTTGTATCGAATGAATCCAACCTGGTTTGTTTGAGGCATTTCTCTCACCCTATAGACCGTTTTGACTATTTAAATTGGGTGTGACCGTTCAAAAGCATTTTTGGTTGAAAAGGCATGCTGTGTTTTGATTTAGCACCTGCATCGTCCTCCGAGTCATCCAGTAGCCTTGAACAAGAGAAGTACCTGCAAGCCATCCTCGACTCCATACCCATTTACTTCAAGATGAATGGCCATAGCACCCTCTCTAACCGCTCGATCATAGGCCTCTCACCAGGTATGTGGATGGTTACCTTCACATTGTAGTTTGTTTTTAATGCCTGTTATTTTCAGCTTCCTCTGGGACCATCGAGAGATGAGAAGCTGTGTTTATTTATTTTTCTTAACTTCATCATAGATTCCCAGTTATTGGCCGGCAAATTAATCAGTGTTTTGACAAGTCTGGTTGGTGCTTCCACCTGACCTGAATTTGTCAAGTGACAGCTCACTGGAGGGGTGGGGG